TTATTTTTTTGCATCTGAAATATTTGCTGAAATAGTGCATATTATACAGCATTATATTTTACTGCACACTTGTAGAGAGTAAAGAAATGAATATGTACTAAATATCCATATATGGTTTCAGGTTATTATGATGAAGGATTTTTAACCATTCAGCATGCTGTAGACATGGCTATTACTGAGTACATCAGTGGAAAAGATCCTAGTGGTGAGTCTTTGATGAAAACTTCTTTTGTTTTTTTTATTATTATTAAGTGGAATCTGGGAATTGCTTATTTGTTTGTAAAGATGTGGTAATCATGATCTTTTTGATTGTGTTTACTTAAGATATTTAAGTCCACACCCCTCTTAAATTGGATAGGCAATTGCAGATATACATTAAAGCCAGTTGGGTTACAGACTCAGGCCGAGGGCATTCATTGGGCCCTGATGGTTAGAAAGTATATCACCAAGGTGTAGTAAGAGATTTTGCAACTCAGAAAGCTTGAAAAAAGAATTTTCTAAGTATTTGTTTACATACAGAAAACAAATTTCATTTTCCGTAGATAGTATTTGATATAATCTTATTTATATGTACTTATAGAAATATAAATAAATATTGGGTGGTTAGCATTCACAAGTCTGTCAGCAATGGATTTTTTTCATAGTCCCATTTGAAAGGACATAATGCCTGAAAATGTTAAGATTACTATCATGGGCCATCCTATACCCTCACACATCCTTACTCCTTGTTTAAGGGGTATGATACATGAGGAAGGTTTTAGGGTAGAGAAGAGTTTAGGTGGAGGAGGTTTGGTTATGTCTAAAGAAGTTAATCCATAAGTGACAGGAAAATATATATTAAAGTTTGGTGAGATTGGGTTACATTAGTGTGTGCTAATCCACACCAGGTATTGTGTTAATGATATACCCACTCATAAAACACCAGTTACATCATATAGTACCAGTTTGCAGAAATAAATATCACTTTAAAAACTGGGGAAATAAAAACTGCAAAGACTACTTTCTATTTGCAGCATCAATATCTGTTGAAATGCAGAGGATGCCTTATCCAAAATATATAGATGACAAGTATCTCGTGGCTCTGCAGTCATGGCTACCTTTTGTTCTCCTCATTTCGTACATATATCCTGCAATCAACATTGCTAAGAGTGTTGTTTATGAAAAAGAGAAGAAGTTAAAGGTAGGTTTCAATTTTGCATTTGTATTTTTCATTTGTAATTATTCCCATTCTATTTTTCTTTTGTATCTTGGGAAGACATCATTTTTACTTTTGTTTTCATCATAGTATAGTCTTCAAATATTTACCCTCTTAGATGAGAAAGAAATGGATGTCTTACAGTAGACACAAATATATAAGAAAAATATAAATAGAAAACTTAATTAACCTATTATTGTAATGAAGATTACTGATGATGAGATCCTTTTGCTATGAAATTTATGATTTTTGAAACCCCCCAAAATAAAAGAAATTCTATTTTTTCTTCCCAAACTAAACAGGAATCAATGAAGATGATGGGGCTACAGAACTGGATGCATTGGATGGCATGGTTTATCAAATCATTCCTTTTCCTAAGCACAACAACGCTTTTAATAACAATTTTACTTTGCACAAGATGGTGAGTTAAAAATTATCAGGTGAATCCAGTTTCAGTAGTTGGAAACATAAACATGACTTACATAAAGCTGTAACTATATGTAGAATTCTGTCTTAATTTTTACTTTACAATGGCTTCCTGTTATGTGCTGAATAATTTGTTTATAAAATGGGTAAACAAAGCTTTTATAAAATGTTATATCTTTATGTGTGTCCGTAGTTGTGACTAGTTCAAATAATTGTTTAGTCTTTGTTAAAGTAGCTTATTATATATATATAAAATGCTTTTTGACATTTTGAGGATGAATATTGAGTTGTGAATGGATGCAATAGCTACAAGTGCTTCATATTCAAGATATTGCAATTATGCAAGATATTTTCTTTTGTCAACATTGCAGTTTAGGCTATTTCGGTCAGGAAAAGAGTTTAATCAGATTATGTTAATTAATCAATGATATGGGCCATGGTGTAAAACCATGTATATCATCAATAGATAGTTTGATTTTCCTACCTTCGATTTAAGGCTTCACAGAATGAAATTCCAAGGACAGGTACCCATCAAGTCACACAGTTAATTTAAACCTTAAATAGCTATCTATCTGGCGATCTATATGTCTATCTATCTGGCGATCTATATGTCTATCTCTCTGTCTCTCTGTCTCTCTGTCTCTGTCTGTCTGTCTGTCTGTCTCTCTCTCTCTTTCTGTCTCTCTCTCTTTCTGTCTGTCTGTCTCTGTCTGTCTGTCTGTCTGTCTGTCCTGTCTCTCTCTCTCTGTCTCCTCTCTCTCGTGTCTCTCTCTCTCTCTCTCTCTCTCTCTCTCTCTCTCTCTCTCTCTCTCTCTCTGTCTCTCTCGTCTCTCTCCTTCATCTCTCTCTCTCAGTCTCTCGTCCAAAGATTGGTTCTCT